CATATAAAGCGCACCGGGTTATAAGCCGCACTGCCGGTTTTGGGTCAAATTTTAGGATTTTCAGTGCGGCTTATAGTCGTGAAAATACGGTATGTGCCTTGTGATGAAATAGATGCTGGGTTTGTCCTACTGCAACTAAGTCTCTTCCTGAAAAATCTTGGTTGGATTTGAGTGGAAATCTGAATGGATTTGGCTGTCCTCTGCTCTCTCAGGGATTTTAATTTCAATATCCAATAGCTCCAGTTTCTGCTTAACTTTTCCCCAACCAATGAAAAAAAAAAACCTGAGGCAGGATGGCAGCACTTTTGCTATCAACTCCTGTCTAGACACAAACCCTCATACGCATGGCATGAACAATGAGAGTGTTTTTAGTTTCCTTGCTCTGTGCTTCCTTGCCCAATGCTCAACCTGCCTCTGACTCTTTCCTGATGAACTTGGGTGTCAGAAGGAAAGGTGAGGGGACAGAGAGGGAATACATTCCTCATGCTGCTAATAGTTGCTAAGAAGGGAGAGTGATCGCATGGCACATTGCCACTGCAGGATAACCAGACACTTTATCTTCATCAGCAAGGGTCTCAAATATCCGAGGTGACACAGTTGTTACAGTAGTACTGCAGGCTACTTCAGCTGACCGCTAGCTGCAGTTCAGCAGTTCAAATCTCACCGGCTCAAGGTTGACTCAGCCTTCCATCCTTCCAAGCAGAGGTGGGTTTCAGGTGGTCCGGTCCGGTACGCACGGACTGGCTCCAGAAATCTGGCGTGTTTGTGTACCGGGGCCTCTAGAGGCCTCGTACTGGAACAGTCCCTCCTCTGGCCTGCCCCCCCACTCACTCCGCCCGGTCACTGCTCTCTCTCTCTCTCACCCCACCCACCCACTTCCTTTGCCGGAGCAGAGGACACAGCAGTAGGAAGAAGCCTGCGCTTCCTTCTCTTTCACAAGCACCTTGCAAAACTGGGACTTTGCAAATTCAAAGAGAAGAAAGGGGGAGGAGGGGGACGGACTTCTTCAGACAAGCCCAGAAAAGCCGCTTTGCCTCCTCTGCTCTCCTTCCCACACTGCAGGCATGGCCTTGAGGGGAAGATGTCCTACAAAGGCAACAACATCCCTCGGATCACAATGGGGTGAAGCAAGTGGGTGGGAAGCTCCAAAAGTCCAGCAAGAAGGGGAGGGGGTGCCTGGAGGGAGGCGCAGCTTCCCTTTTAGTCTCCGAAGCCTCACTCAGCCTGCTCAGCTCCTGTGGATGGTTTCCCGGCCAGCCGCCAATTTATAAACAGAAATTAACCATGTTCTTTTAAACTTTCCATTTCAATGAGATTTTAAGAAGTTTCAGAAAAATTGTCATTGAAATGGAAAGTTTAAAAGAAGTTGGTTAATTTCCATTTATAAAGGTCATGTGGCAGCGGTGCACGGGCTGCTGACCGAGTCCAACCCAGCGCCTGCCCAGGGTTATGGTGCTGTCATGGAGCATCTCCCAGCTGGGAAGGGGCACCAGGAGAAAGCAGAGCCGCCAAAAGCCCAGCTGCAGCTGGCAATGGGGCACAAAGGAGCCGCTGCCCAGCAGAACTGGAAGTGTCCCCAGTTTGGTGGGCTGGTGGGGAGGTTGTGCAGGCCTGGAGGAGAGGGGGGAGGCAGGGGTTGAGGCTGCCTTGAACACCTGCAATGGGTGGCAAATTTTTGAATCCCACCACTGTCTCTCTCTCTCTCTCTCTCTCTCTCTCTCTCT